ATTATACACTTTTTTTTTAGGGTCCAGGACTTGAACTGCACAGCTGGTCGTGTGGGATCTGGCTCCTTTAACTACCAGGCCATGGTGCCAGCTCCCACATTTTCGTTATCCATTCATCATCCACTGATGAATACTGAGGTTGAGGACGTATCTTGACTGTTGTGACTAATGTAATGAACATGGTAATGCAGATGTGCCTTCAACAAATTGATTTAATATACTTTGGCTGTGTACCCACTAGTGTGATTATCACATTATATAGCAGTTCTATTTTTAATTTTTTGAGAACCTTCGTATTGTTTCCCATAATGACTGTCCTAATTTCCATTCCCCTCAACAATATATAAGGGTCCCATTTTCTTCTCTCCTTCGCCAACTCTTGTTACCACTTGTCTTTGAAAATAGCTATTCTGACAGGCTTCAGGTGGTATCTTACGGTACTTTTAATTTATAGTCCATCACTGATCTTAAGCATTTCTGTTCAGGTCTAATTAATTTTTAATTAGGTTATATTTTCCTTTTCTGTCTCTCTCTTTTATGTCTTTTAATTTGCTATAGGGTGCGTGCACTCTCCAGAGAAAAGTGAGAGAGATAAAAGGAAAATGAGAAAGTGCCTCCTGGACATAACTATGTCTCATTCCCTTCTTTTCCATTTTTGTTCAAGACTTTGGACACAGACACACACATACACATACGCACGTGCCTGGTGTATTTTACAAGCCACTGGGCCCGGAACTCAAACTGCACAGTTGGCCGTGTGGAATCTAGCCACCTTACCACCCTGCCACCTACCCGGCCCTCTTTTTCCTTTTCTAATGATAATGTATATCCATGCACGTGTGTGAGAGAGAAAGGGAGACCGCATAGGGTGTTGGCACACTATGATATAATTTCCCCAGGCCTCCCCCAGTGCAGGATCCTGGGTGCCTGTGCCCACCTTGTGTGTTTTGGGGCAGCCCCAGGGATCTGAACCTGTGGTCACCATATGGCTTCAAGCCTTGTAGGGCACTTTTGTTATCAGTGGGCCACAAGGGCTGAGTCTGTTTTCTTGCTGTTGAGATGGGTTCTTTCTATATTTTAGATATAACTCCTTGTCAGATATATGGATCACAGATCTTTTTTTTTGTCTTATTTTGTATATGGTTTCTTCATTCTGATGGTTAATTTTTCTTTGTACAGAAACTTTTTAGATTGATGCAGTAATCACCAGAAGCAGCTTATCAATTAGGAGTCAGTTCACTACTGTCATTTCAGAGAAAAAAAATTCTTTTCTCATCAATTAGTATTTTCCAAAGATCCAGTTTGGTAGTTTAGTAGTACCACATTAAAAAAGACCTTGGAAATAACAGTGTTATTGGTTGATTTACATATTCTTCATGAAATTGGTTCTTTAGAAAAACGTATTAGACAAAGAATAACGTGACTCACTTTTTTACACTACATTTGCTATAGAAATGGATATGATGGGAACCAGCAGTTAACATAATGGCTATGTCGCTGGACTCCCACATAGTCGATCACAGTTCGCATCTCGGACCCGGTGGCTTAAAACTCATGCTGGGTGCGTGTGCGTGCGTGCCTAAGATCCCGAGAGGAGAATGGAGGAGAAGGGATTGCGGCGTGACTGTCCCCCCGGGGGATGATTTCTCACATTCTGTCTCTATGCCTCTTTTTGTCTGTCTGGCGAGCGCACGTGCCCTATAGCGAAAAACCTCCAAAAAAAAAAAGAAAGAAAGAAATGGATATGATGACTTGAATTCTGGAAAAGTTCTCTGAGTTAACAAAGAAAATGAATATTTTTTAGTTTGCCCTTTTTTTTTCTTCTTCTTCTTCTACTGGGCATTTGCATTTGTCAGAGAGAGAGAGAGAAAGTGAGAAATCACCTTGGGGGGATGGCTACACTGCAATCTCTTCTTCATTCTCCTCTTTGGATTTGGGCATACATGCACACATTCCTGTATGTTTCTCAAGCCACCTGATGTGAACTCAAACCACAGAGTTGGCCATGTAGAATCCAGCTTTCTTAACCACCACACCACCAGCTGGCTTAGTAACATTTTATTTTTAACCATATTTATATTCAATTGATAGTTTCCTGATATACTACTCCGTCTCATAAATTAAAATGTACTAAATCTATATTTCTAGTGAAAAGGAAAAGACATGCACATTAGAGCATCATTATCATCTCTAAGGTTTTTTGTTCCACTGTGCCCTTAAGCACTGACAGTATCAAAAAGGAAAAGTAATATTGGTACTCTAATCTCAGGCTCTGAATAGTTCCAAATGCCGAGTTTATTAGCAAATAAATGGAAATAGAAGAAATGGTGACTTGTACTAAAAATAATTACTATTTATTTATTTATTTATTTATTTATGGAGAGAGTTTTGCTATAGGGCTTGTGTGCTCACCAGAAAGACAGAGACAGACAGAAATCACCCCCCAGGGGGGATGGCCACGCTGCAATCCCTTCTCCTCCATTCTCCTCTCGGGATCTTGGGCACGCACTCACACACCCAGCTTGAGTTAAAGCCACCGGGTCCAGGATTCAAACTGCAGTCGACTACCTGGGAGTACAGCAACATAGCCATTATGCCAAGTGCTGGTCCCAAAATAATCACTTTTAACTAAATATTAAATTCTCATTTTAAAAAATCCCCTACTGCATTTTCTTGCTTTTATCCTTTGGATTTATATTCCCATGAAACATACTGTTACTCTGGTTTATCACCTTGACAAGAATCTGTTCACATTTTTACTGTTACTTGTCTGTTTTATTTACAAAGGGCACATATACTCATAGGCCGGGTTTTGACGAGAACGAGAGTGAGAGAGAAAAGCACTCCATAGTAGGGTGTGGTTACACCGCAGCCCCTTCCTACATCTCCTGTCCCCTCATAGTTTAGGGCATGTACCTGCACTCCCACATCTGGCATGTTTTTTAGCTGCCAGGGCCAGGATTCAAACCATGGCCAGCCATGTGGGCTCCAGCTCCCAGTGCATAGCTCTTAAACACAGTGCTGTGGGGCCAGCCTTGTTCAAAATTTTAAAATAACCAGATGATTGGCAATCACCTGTAATCCCCTTTATCCAAGATACCGAGGAAGAGTGCAAGTTTATGGTCACTGTAGACAGCATAGGAAGACTCTGTCTCTAATTTAAAAATGAAAATAAAGTTATATCTTGGGAAAGCTATGTTTAGATTGAGGTTTTTCTGTTGCAAGAATAACATAGAGGGATGGAAGATGTCAGTAAAATGTGTTGTTAATGGAGTCTGAAAACACCTTGCTCAGATTCTCTTGAGTATAACCTTACAACATCTGTGTGATCTCTGTAATCCCGTCCAGAGATTATGCTATTTACTGGATATGGATTTTGTTGTTTAAATCTGCAATGTTAGGTACTCCATCCATGAAGGTTGAAAATTGTTGCCAGTAAGGTAAAAAATGAGAATTTGGCAGATAAATCTGAATGGTTTCTTTGTAAAGTATTACTTTCCAAAATGTTCAGTAATGGCATGTATGTAATTGTAATATAACCACATCGAGGGATGTTATATAATCATTATGTTGAATTTTTGTAAAAGACATTTAGCATAATGAGAGAGTAAAAATATTTTGATGAAAAAAATTGAGGCAACTTGGAAACCAGCAGTTACCTCTGTTGCTGGACTCCCACGTAGTCGACTGTGGTTCGCGGCCCAGACCCGGTGGCTTAGAACTCACACCGGGCGCATGTGCGTGCGTGCCTAAGATCCCGAGAGGCGAATGGAGGAGAAGGGATTGCGGCGTGACCATCCCCCCTTGTGGGGTGATTTCTTGCTTTCTGTCTCTCTGTCTCTCTCTGTCTGTCTGGTGAGTGCACGTGCCTTATAGTGAAACCCTCTCAAAAAAAAAAAAAAATTGAGGCAACTTGGAAACCAGCAGTTACCTCTGTTGCTGGACTCCCACGTAGTCGACTGTGGTTCGCGGCCCAGACCCGGTGGCTTAGAACTCACACCGGGCGCATGTGCGTGCGTGCCTAAGATCCCGAGAGGCGAATGGAGGAGAAGGGATTGCGGCGTGACCATCCCCCCTTGTGGGGTGATTTCTTGCTTTCTGTCTCTCTGTCTCTCTCTGTCTGTCTGGTGAGTGCACGTGCCTTATAGTGAAACCCTCTCAAAAAAAAAAAAAAATTGAGGCAACTTGGAAACCAGCAGTTACCTCTGTTGCTGGACTCCCACGTAGTCGACTGTGGTTCGCGGCCCAGACCCGGTGGCTTAGAACTCACACCGGGCGCATGTGCGTGCGTGCCTAAGATCCCGAGAGGCGAATGGAGGAGAAGGGATTGCGGCGTGACCATCCCCCCTTGTGGGGTGATTTCTTGCTTTCTGTCTCTCTGTCTCTCTCTGTCTGTCTGGTGAGTGCACGTGCCTTATAGTGAAACCCTCTCAAAAAAAAAAAAAAATTGAGGCAACTTGATGTATACTTTGTAAAGTAAAATATGTAGGATCAGAGAAAGTAACCTAAAAGTACTGCTAGTGATTGCCTGTGGGTGGTGTTTTCTGTTTTTTGGGGTTTTTTTCTTTTTCCTTTTCTTCATTTTTCATTTTTTCTATTGCTATATTCACATATCTTAGTGAAATAACATGCTCAGTGACTTGCAAAGGACAGCAGTTGTGCATTTATAACACAACTCTGGTCCTTCGGAAATGTTTTCTGTGGTATTTTCAGTTTCATATTTTTGAGTTATGTTTTGATCTCGAATAAATATTTACATTCCATTGAAAAGTCTGAAGCTAAAAGTAAAAAAACAGAAACCTGAGTCTGTAATATTTAAAAGTTGTGCTTCAGAGTGTTACAATTTTCTTATCTGATTTTATTTTTTATTGTCAGATATCCAGTGATAAAAACCACCTTTTAAGAGAGAGACTTCAAATGGAAATCTATAATATATTAAGTTTTATATTTTAGAACTTTAAAGGTTCTACTCATGTAAATAAACCTTTTCTGATTTTTAGAGGGACAGAAAGAAAATGAAAAAATGAAAGGTGAAGAGCGGCCGATAAATTCAGAAAACCATCCTACACCCAATATTCTAGAAGCCACTGCTGTGAAAATAGAAAAAGAAGATGAAAAGGAACTTATGAAACTGCCAGTCATAGTGAAGCTAGAAAAACCTTTGCCAGAAAGTGAGGAAAAAAAGATTATCAAAGAAGAAAGTGATTCCTTCAAGGAAAATGTCAAACCCGTTAAAGCCGAAGTGAAGGAGTGCAGGACAGATCCTAAAGATATCAAAGGCAGCATGGAGAGGCTGGTCTCCCCGGAGACTGAGAGACTAGAATTTGGTGGTAATATTAAATCTTCTCAAGAAATTACTGAGAAATCTTCTGAAGAAACTGAGAAACTTAAAAATGACCAGCAGGCCAAGATACCACTAAAAAAACGAGAAATTAAACTGAGTGATGATTTTGACAGTCCAGTCAAAGGACCTTTGTGTAAATCAGTTACTCCAACAAAAGAGTTTTTGAAAGATGAAGTAAAACAAGAAGAAGAGACTTGTAAAAGGGTCTCCACAATCACTACTTTGGGTCACGAAGGGAAACAACTGGTAAATGGAGAGGTGACCGATGAAAAGGCAACTCCAAATTTTAAGACAGAACAAATAGAGACAAAGTTTTACGATGCAAAGGAAGAGAGCTATAGCCCCTCTAAAGACAGGACTGTCATTGTAGAGGGAAATGGAGCCGAGTCTCTCAATTCTGTCATAACAAGTTTGAAAACAGGCGAGCTTGGGAAAGAAATGGGCACTTTAGGGAGGGATACAGAGAGTTCACCATCCATCTTAGAGGCCCCGAGTCAAAAAAGGCAGATAGAGGACCCTGGTCCTCCAGAAATGGAAACTTCACTTGAGTCTTCTGAGAAGGCAAAGGATCTCTCGTTAAAAACTGCTTTGTCTACCACTGAATCCTGTTCAATGAAAGCTGAAGAGAAGTCTCCCAAAAGTAAGAAAGAAAAGCGCCCACCAATCCTAGAATGTCTTGAGAAGTTAGACAAGTCCAAAAAGACTTTTCTTGATAAGGACACGCAAAGATTGAGTCCAATACCAGAGGAAGTTCCCAAGGGTACTCTGGATTCTGAAAAGCCTGGCTCACCACAGGCTGCCGAAGCTTCCCCACCAGCTGGCATGACTGGCCCTTGTGATAAGCTAGCCTCAGAAAAGGGAGTGGTGGAAGCTGTGAGTTCAAGTCCTGTTGAAGGCCGGCCTCCGGCACAGGCAGACACAGAAATTCCAAAAGAGGACTCAGAGTCCATTAAGGGGGAAATGGAACATCTGAACAGTACCCAGAGCTCTGGCTTAGAGGACCCTTCTGAGACAAAGGGTTCTATGCAAAAAAGCAAATTTAAATACAAGTTGGTAACCGAAGAAGAAACCACTGCCTCCGAAAATACAGAAATAACTTCTGAAAGGCAGAAAGAAGGCATCAAATTAACAATTAGAATATCTAGTCGGAAGAAGAAGCCAGATTCTCCCCCCAAAATTCTAGAGCCAGAAACAAAGCAAGAGAAGACAGAAAAAGAAGAAGACAAAGCAAATGTGGGTCGTACTTTAAGAAGGTCTCCAAGAATATCTAGACCCACAGCAAAAGTGGCTGAGATCCGAGATCAGAAAGCAGATAAAAAAAAGGGGGAAGGCGAAGATGAAGTGGAAGAAGAGTCAGCACCTTTGCAAAAAACAGACAAAAAAGAAAATGTGAAAAAATCTGAGAAGGATACGAATTCTAAAGTAAGCAAGGTAAACCGTTTCCTACTCTGAGTTTTAATTTTTAGTTAGAAACATTCAGCTCTAAAAGCTTTTTGCTAAAATGTAATCATCTAAAGACAACTGAAAAAAATCTTAGAGAAAAATACTCATTTTCATTCTACCTCAAAATACCTTTCCTCAGTAGTTATCCCCACAAATTTCAGGAATCTTTTGTCATCTTTTCAACTGTTCTATTACAAGCAGTATAAGGAATATATTCTCTTTGAAAACTATTCTAGTAATCGAAACCTCTAGGATTATAACCACTGTAACCACTATTAACAGTTTGGAGTATCTATTCCCCCCCCTTTTTTTTTGTGAATTCATGTGTATGTTCATAAACATTATCCGCTCATTTAAAAAAATAAATCGGATCAAATAAGCTCATTTCTCTATGAGTTTGTCACTTAACAATGTGTCTGAACTCTTCCCATGTCAGTAGATAGAGCCTTCCTTTTGTTGATTAATGGCCACTTAGTATTCCATAGTGTGGATATACCTCAGTGTATTTAATCACTCCCTTATTGATTGACATTTAGGTTGTTTCCAATTTTTCACTATTACAGGCAATGCTGCATTGAAGATCCTTTTGGACATGAGTGAGTATTTCTTTAGAATAGACTCCTAGAATTGGAATTGCTGGGTCAAGGGGCATGTGTATTTTAAGTTTTGATAGCTGTTGCCACAGTGTCCTCCAAGGGCCCATTCCTGTCCCATCTCCTTACCAGTGTAGGAGAGTACCTAGTTCCCCTATTTTGATCATAATCTTAGAAACCACACCTCTCTTCTCTGTGACCCTCTTTTAAGCAAAGTCTTTTAAAAGTCTTTAGCTAGGCTACGGGAGTTTGTAGTAATTGAAAGTATCACTTTCGCTCTTAATTTATTCACATGATCAAATTATTCTTCCTTGTAAGTAATCTTTTGTTCCCTGAAATACTGGAGTTTTCGTTCTTTTTAAAGAAGTTTCTTTTTCTTCTGTTAGAATTATTTTGTTCTCTGCTGAAGGCCTATAGGAGCTGAAATATAAGTTAAAAGATCGAAAAGTAGGCAATAAAATGCTGTTAACAGTATTATAAACCTATCCTCTGAATGATATTTTTACAAGGTTCATTGGGATCTTGTTATGCAGTTTTAAAATTAATCTTTAATACACTATTTAAATTTTTCATAACAATAAGTGAGAATACAGTCCTTATTCTGTTATAGAGCCTTTAAAATGTGCATGGCCTTTGACCCAGAATCCTCTTCAAGGAATTTATCCTAACCACAAAGATGTGTGTAAAAGTTTATATTTATAAAGATACATTGTTTATGAAAGTGAAAAAATGGGAAACAACTGCCTAAATGTCTAGTAGGGATTAGATAAACACAGCTATGTTATGGTATATTATAACATAGTTTATACCGGTGTCAGCAGAATATTTTATGACCAGGGAATATATCTATAAGACAAAATGGTCATTATAATTCCATTGGAAAAAAAGTGTAGAAAAAATAATGTATAATAAATATCTATGAAAATTTAATAGTAGGTATATCTGGTGATGACCTTAAAATTCTTTTTTTTTCTTTGTATATTGATTAAATATTCTACAAAGATCATATAATCAGAAGTTTTTGGTAAGTATCCTTATTTTATCAAATTATCTCTTTTATTTTGTATCAGGTAAAACCAAAAGGCAAAGTTCGATGGACTGGTTCTCGAACGCGGGGCAGGTGGAAATATTCCAGCAATGATGAAAGTGAAGGGTCTGACAGTGAAAAATCATCTGCTGCTTCAGAAGAGGAAGAAGAAAAAGAGAGTGAAGAAGCCATCCCAGCAGATGATGATGAGCCCTGCAAAAAGTGTGGCCTTCCCAACCATCCTGAGCTGGTATGTATCTGGTCTCGTGGTGTTTCTATTCCAAGCAAGCTGTGGCTGCCCCGAGCAGCTGAGTCTTCCAGGTTTGGCTATAACTGGATATTGCAGTGCTGTCAAGCTTGCGTGCTACCACGTAGCCTTGATTCCCACTCCAAAATAATGACCCAATTCTAGTAAGGCCAAGGATCAAGATCATGCTTTCATTCTACCAGTCTTACGTATTAGTACTTTTTCTACCTAATAAGGATGTACCTCTCATCTTTTTATTAAGCCAGTGAATTGATTTAACTATTTCTAGGGACCAGCAGTTAACGTAATGGCTATGTCGCTGAACTCCCATGTAGTCGACTGCAGTTCGACTCCCAGACCTGGTGGCTTAAACTCACGCTGAGTGCATGTGCGTGCGTGCCCAAGATCCCAAGAGGAGAATGGAGGAGAAGGGATGGCGTTGTGGCCATCCCCCCCCCTCCGGGGGGTAATTTCTTGCTTTCTATCTCTCTTTGTCTTTCTGGTGAGCGCACGCGCCCTATAGCAAAAAAACAAACAAAAAAAACTATTTCTATTCAGTTTGTTTTCTTTACATTTTACGTCTTTCCCTTTAAGTTACATTATAATGGTATATCTGAAGTGCCAGCTTTATTGCCTTCCTATAAAAACATTTGTTAGTAACCTAGTGGGGCCTAATTTTTTAGATTTATTTATTTATTTCAATTCCATTTGTTGTTGTTGTTGTTATTATTATTATTTATTTGACCAGAGAGAAAGGGAAAGCAAAAAAGCAAGCCACCAGGTCTGGCACTTGAACTGCAGTCGACCATGTGGGAATATAGTACCTTTAACCGCCACACCACCTACTGGCCCACTAGTGGGTCTTTAACAGTTTAAAAATGAACTATTCTGAAATAAGGTTTTTGTAGAATAAATTATTGACAGACATATCCAAAAGAATAGTACCAGATTTATTTTGGAACCCCCCATTTTTTCCTTTGATTTGCCAGAGGGCATGTGCACTCACTGGATAGTGAGCAAGAAAGCAACCTTCCACCTGTCCCCGCCATGGTGAGTGGCCTCCCTGCAAGCCCTTCTTCTCTATTTCTCCATCCTTCAGGATTTTGAGCTTCTACACATATACCTGGCATGATTTTTTTTAAAGAACTATTTCGTGTAACTTTATTTATTTATTTGTTTTAATTTGACCAGAGTGGGACAGAGCAAGAAAGAGAGAAAGGGAAAGTGAGAAAGCAAGCCACCTGGTCTGGGACTTGAACCACAGTCGGCCACGTGGGAGTCCAGTGCTCTTAACCACCACTCCACCTACTGGGCCCCCTGGCATGATTTTTAAGCCATTGAATCCAGGATTCAAGCCACACAGTTGACCATGTGGGATTCAGCCACTTTTTTTATTTTTTGGAGAGGTTTTTACTGTAGGGCCTGTGCGTTCACCAGAGAGACAGAAAGCAAAAAAATCACCCTCCAGGGGGAATGGCCACACCACAGTCCCTTCTCCTCCATTCTCCTTTTGGGATCTTGGGCACACACACACACACACACACACACACACACACACACACACACACGCCCAGCGTGAGTTTAAGCCACTGGGTCTGGGACTCGAACTGTGGTGTTGACTACATGGGAGTCCAGCGACATAGCCATTACCTCAACCGCTGGTCCCGGATCCAACACTTTAATCATGGACTGGCCCATGTGGAGATGTTTTACTCAGTTATGTTCCTCAGATATGTTCTAAATCAGAAGAATCAACTCCTTGTCCAGACCTGTTATTTGAAGTTCATATGTGAATCTATTGAGAAAATACTCGTTTTATTTCTAATTCCATGCAACTCTGTACTTCTTTCGAATACACTGGACTTTAAGCTCTAACTATTAAGAAGAGATACTTCCACATGGGTAGAATTGTGGGGAGCAGAAATGTTTTAAGATCCTCTATTAAAATTTGGAACATTCTAAGAGGTTCTTCTCCAGGTTCTTTTTTTCCCTAGGAAGCAGCATGTGAGGAAAAAGTACAGGGCCAGACAAATGTGGATTCAGATCCCTCGTCCACCACCACAGGTGCTCTTTCTCTGAATCTTGATTTCTCATTATAAAATGAGCTAATGACTGTATACATTTTTTTTTTTTTTGAGAGGTATTTTGCTACAGGGCACCTGTGCTCACCAGAAAGATAGAAAGAGACAGAGACAGAAAGTGAGAAATCACCCACACCTGGTAGATGGCCACGCTGCAATCCCTTCTCTCCCATTCTCTGCTCGGGATCTTGGGTACACATGCACACGCACCCAGAGTGAGTTTAAGCCACTGGGTCCAGGACTTGAACCACGGTCGGCTACATGGGAGTCCTGTGACACCGCCATTACGCTAACTGCTGGTCCCTATGACCATATACGTTGAGAGGTATTTTGTTTTGTTTTGTTTTAAGAGATTTTTGCTACAGGGCATGCGTGCTCACCACAGAGATAGAGTGACAAAGAAAGTGAGAAATCCCTCCCCGGGGGCTGGCCATGCTGCAATCCCTTCTCCTCCCAGGATCTCGGGTATACACACACATGCACCAGGCATCAATTTTAGTCCACCAGGTCCAGGATTTGAACCGCAGTCGACTACTTGGTAATCCAGCAATGTAACCATTATGCCATCTGCTAGTCCCGAGGGGTGGTTTTAATAGCTTGTGTAACGTTTGTTAGTACTGTTCCTCATATGTAGTCTGTTCTAGCATAAAGTTAATTCCGGTTAATTTGTTCTTTTCTTTCTTAGAAAAGGCTTTGAAAGTTAGGACAAGATTTTTATGTAGAGAAAAGCGAAGAAATTTGAGATAGGAATTTTTACTGCCCTGTCAATTGAGGAGAAAGCAATACATGGGTTCTGTTTCATCTTTCCCAGTGTCGCATTACATTGAAAGAGCATTTTGTCTAAGGCAGCAGTAACTGTCAGTGACAAAGGGGTATGCGGGAACGGGAAGTAAAATGGAGTGAGCAGAAATGGTTGTGAGAAAAAGATGATGTTGCACCCTTTTTCAAAATATATTTATTTGTTTAATTTTATTTGTTATTATTTTTTAATTTGACTAGAAGGAGGGAGAGAGAGAGAAAGAAAGTGAGAGAGCAAGCTGCTAGGTCCGAGAGTCAAACCCGTATGGGAGTCCAGCACCACGCCACTTGCCGGCCCCTCATGTTGCACCACTTTTAGAGCAGAATTTTATTGGCTATTTTAATAACTTCTTTGAAAATCCATGGCTGGTTACTGTGCCAAAGAGACTGACATTGGAAACTGAAGATCCCAAATGTGGAGATTTCTTATGCCAAGTATGTCAATAAAATGTACTAATAAAAATGTCAGTTAACTGCGGCTGGCAGGCGGCTTGGTAGTTAAGATGCTGGACTCCACTTGGTTGACTGCAGTTTGAGTCCCAGACCTGGCAGCTTGCTTTCTCACTTTTCCTTTCTTTCTCTTCCTCTCTCTCTCTGGTCAAATTAAAAAAATAATAATAACAAATAAAATTAAATAATTACTTTTAAAAATATCAGCTGTTGTATGTTAAGTAGTAATGACATGATACTGAAGTAGAAATCCTTCATTCTCATCCTTACTGAGCTGGCAGCAGGAAAGCAACAAATTGCTAAATGAACGTGGAACTGTAAGGGGTTTCCAGATGCTTTATTCAGAATAGATGGGTCATTACCTGAGGCTTAGAAATCATCCATGGTGATCTTTATTTAGTGGGATTCCCTTTATGGCAGTATAGAGCCAATCTTAATTTTAGAAATAAGTTGAATTTCATAAGTTCATTTATAGTTTCGCTATTTGAAATTTAGATTACATTTTACCATAGAAACAATACAATAAATGGAATTAGGTGCCCAGGTTAGTCCACCTTTGCCTATGTAATAAATCATGTAACTGAAATATGTAATACTGATACATAGTGTTGAAGGGTGGATATTCGGAGTAAGTGACAATTCACCATCTAGAGACGGAAGAAACTTTTCTACTTTAATCTCCCCCCTCTCCCCAGAACCATGGGATGGGTTAGAATTTTTTTTTCCTTTTTAAAAATAAACCATAGTTTATTTTATTTTTAACACCCATGAATTCATAGGTAATAGGTTCCAGAAGCTCAGGCTCCTTTCCATTGGTTCTCTCACCATGGCTTCTCTGGGTGGAGCAGGCTGGTGCTTCAGTTGAACCCAGGAGCCTTTCTCTTTGACCTTCTTTTTCTGGTCATTTTCCTTCACACGTTTTGGGAAGCTATCTCTGCTCTTAGAATGCTTAATATGCTAAATACCCACATTAATTCTCTTGGCAAGAATCTTGCCCTTAACTTGTTTGTTTATACCAATGCCAACAGCATGCTGGGTAACACTGTAGACTCTTCCAGTTTTGCCATGGTAACATTGCGGGACACTCCTTTTTGAATAGTACCCATTCCCTTGATGTCTACAATATCACCTTTCTTAAAGATTCACATATATGTTGCCAAAGGAACCACTCCATGTTTTCCAAAAGTCCTAGAGTATCGGGGAACAGCAAGCGATGTGGTAGTTAAGGGGCTGAACACTCCCACATGGCCAACCATGGTTTGAGTCCAGGTGCCTTGCTTTCTCACATTCCCTTTCTCTCTCTGTGTCTCTCTTTGGTCAAATTAAAATAATAAGTAAATGAATAAATGAAATTAAATAATTCTTTAAAAAAATAAAAGTCCTAGAGAATGTATATCGGGTTCTTCTCCGCTTTCCCTTGGTTTGTCATTTGGGTGAATGAAGATGGCAGTTCCCAGGATGGGTTAGAATTTGTGAAACTACTTTATGTGTATACGAGGGCTGACCTAGTGTGGGCAGTATGACCCAGAGTCTGCACTGTCAGCAAGGCTGAAGGCTGGACTGAGTGCTGTGATTCTGGATTCCAGCAGGATATGTTAGTATGAGCTCACGATTATCTTGATAATGGTTACAGATTATGGGTATGCCTAGACACATTTTACATGCATTTCCTGATGCTGTCCTCAGAGAGAGCTTAGAGGTGGTGGTATCAAGTGGCAGTGAACACACGAAGCACCAAATTATGATTTCTTCTCTCTTTTTTTGGAGAGATTTTTTTGCTATAGGGTGTGTGTGCTCACCAGAAAGACAGAGACAAAGAGATGGAAAGCGCGAAATCACCCCCCGGGAGGATGACCACACCGCAATCCCTTCTCCTCCATTCTCCTCTCTGGATCTTGGGCATGCATGCACACGTGCCCGGTGTGAGTTTAAGCCACTGGGTCCGGGACTCTAACCGCCGTCGACTACGTGGGAGTTCAGTGACATAGCCATTACGCTAACTGCTGGTCCCTCTTTTTTATTTTTTTAAAGAATTATTTTACTGGGAACCAGCAGTTAGCATAATGGCTATGTCGCTGGACTCCCACATAGTCGATCGCGGTTCGCGTCCCAGACCCGGTGGCTTAAAACTCACACTGGGTGCATGTGCGTGCGTGCCCAAGATCCTGAGAGGAGAATGAAGGAGAAGGGATTATGGCGTGACCATCCCCTTGCTAATATAATGTCCAGTAATATTTTCTTTATTTTAATTGCCGGAGGGTACATGTGCTCGATAGAGAGAGAGAGAAAGAAAGAAACCCACCAGATCTGGGACCAAACTGTGGTCAGCCGTGTGGGAGTGTCCAGTGACTTAACCATCATGCAGGTGTGCTGGTCCCCAGTTCTTTTTTAATCTTGCCAGAGTGTGTGTACACTTGCTGGAGAGAGAGAGAGAGAGAAGAGAGGGGTAGTGAGAGCAAATCACCAGGTCTGGGACAAACTGTGGTCAACCATATGGGGAGTCCAGCACCCTTAACCGCCATGCCACCTGCTGGCCGTAGAGATTTGGAAATCTTAAATAGCAATAACACATCAAAGACTAATTATTGTTATTATCCTTTGCATTCCAGCTGGTGGTCCTTAATAGAATGTCTTTTTTTTTGGGGGGGGGGGGGAGATTTTCACTGTAAGGCGCGTGCGCTCGCCAGACAGACAGAGAGAGACATAGAGACAGAAAGCGAGAAATCACCCCCCAGGGGGGATGGTCACGCCGCAATCCCTTCTCCTCCATTCTCCTCTCGGTATCTTGGGCACGCACGCACATGCGCCCGGCGTGAGTTTTAAGCCACCGGGTCCGGGACACGAACCGCAGTCGACTACGGGGGAGTCCAGCGACATAGCCATTACGCTAACTGCTGGTTCCCTAGAATGTCTTTCTTATACTTCAGTCCCTTCCTTAGTTGAATTTACATGATAAAAAGAGCCATCAGTGTGTTTTATGAACAGATAGTTGAAAGACTGTTTAAATGGGTCTTTGTGAAGGTTTTTGCCATAGGGCTTGTGCACCCTTCCTATGTTAGACCGAGGGAAAGTGAGAAATCACTCCCTAGGTCATGGCCATGCTCTTCTTCATTATTCCTCTCTAGATTTTGGGGCTCATGCACACAGGCCTGGCATGATTTTCAAGGTGCCAGGTCCAAGACTCAAACCATAGTTAGCTGTGTGGGAATCCAGCGCCTTAACTGCCACATCACCTGCTGGCTCTAAAATGGAATTTAAAATTTTTTTAAAGATTCCGTGTTTAGTCAAGTCTATGATACTTGAGCTTAAAAACTTTGTTGCAACAGGAGACTGGCCTTGTAGTTTAGCAATCAAGAATTGTGCAGAGGAAGCCAAATCCCACCTGGCTGACCAGGGTTCAAGTCCTAGCCCCGGTGCACAGCTATAACCTGGATCCTGACAGGACAGAGACTTGTGGAAGGATTGCAGTGTGACCAGGACCTGTTAAGGAGTGCTCTCTTACTCCCGTTTTCCCTCCCTCTCCCTCTGTCTCTCTAACACATGTGCATATATACACCCTTGAAGTGGGGAAAAAATACTGCTATGAAGAATACATATGCTCAGGACCAGCAGTTAGCATAATGGCTATGTCACTGGACTCCCATGTAGTTGACCACGGTTCGTGTCCCGGACCCGGTGGCTTAAAACTCACACCAGGCACGTGTGCGTACGTGCCCAAGATCCTGAGAGGAGAATGGAGGAGAAGGGATTGCAGCTTGGCCATCCCCCCTGGGGGGTGATTTCTCACTTTCTGTCTCTGTGTCTCTATCTGGCGAGCGCACGCGCCCTGTAGCTAAAACCTCTCAAAGAAAAAAGAATACATATGCTCTTATAGTGTACTCTAAAAGAATTCTAACTAATTCAGAAAGGACTTTTTAAAGAATTTATTTATTTAATTTTATCTGTTATTATTTTTTAAATTTAATCAGAGAGAGAAAGGGAAAGTGAGGCAAGACACATGGTCTGGGGCTTGAACCATAGTCGGCCATGTATAAGTCCAACACTCCAACCACCAAGCTACCTGCTGGCTCCAAAAGGACTTATTTTTTACTAAATCCTGTGGCTTCATATTTTCTTTGTTTTAGTTTTTATTTTTTAAACACTGTCATGTCAGATTCTTATTTGAGCTTTTTTATTAATCATCTTTCTACAAACAAAGAGTGCCTTGCAGCATACATACTAAGAAATGTTGAAATATCTTTATTTTAATATGAGTCATTCCATTTTGACATTGAGTTAGGTTGATGTCCATAATGTTTATTTCAGATTCTCCTGTGTGACTCCTGTGACAGTGGGCACCCCACCGCCTGCCTCCGCCCGCCTCTGATGATCATCCCTGATGGAGAATGGTTCTGCCCGCCTTGCCAGCATGTATGACCCCGCCCCCCTCGTGGAAAATCCGCGATTTCATATTCAGATTAACAGTACTTTCTAAAAAACACTGAACATTCATTTCCAAAGTAGTTCGTAAATCGTGTTTACCTGTTTTTTAGATTTCTACCTTTTATTTATTTATTTTTTCTTTTTTGGAGAGGTTTTTGCTATAGGGCGCGTGTACTCACCAGAAAGAGAGACAGAGAGACAGAAAGCGAGAAATCATCCCCCAGGGGGGATGGCCCCACTGCAATCCCTTCTCCTCCATTCTCCTCTTGGGATCTTGGGCACGCACACACGTGCCCGGCGTGAGTTTAAGCCACTGGGTCTGGGACTCGAACCGCAGTTGACTACTTGGGAGTCCAGCAACATAGCCATTACACTAACTGCTGGTCCTAAGATTTCTACCTTTTATTAATGTCATTTAGGTTTCCTTTAGTTTTTACTTTTTTCCCAAATCATTTCTCAGCAGTCCTGCAAATTTTATAAAATTACCATCATTACAAAGAGCTCTAATTGAAATACATGCAAGGAAGACACAGCCCCTGGCTGCTGCTCTTCCTTCGTTGGCAGTTCTAGAGGTGCAGTCTTCAGCGCTAGGAGAGCCATGGGCTCTTGCTCGCCTCTCTTGATTGAGATGAATTTCTTTTGAATACTCAAGAACATAACATTTTTTTGCTATTGTGACAATTGGGTTATTTTCATGAGCCTTTTCTCGTTTTGCTTCGGAAAAGACGAGATGATGTATTTTTCATTGAGGCGGACTTCTGTAGCTTAGCCTGGCTTTGTCACGTGTATTTCTCTGTTTTACCCCAGTAACCATGGAGCATCGTTTTATACATTTTCTTCCTAACCTCTTTTTTTTTTTAAAGTAGTTATTGGCACCATTGCATTATATTGTACATATAACCTGTTCCTTGAAAAATATTTTGGGGTCTGTTACTCATGCACGTTGAATGAGACACTGTTTTAACTCTGACTGCTCTGTGCAGGATTGGTACAGAATTGGCCTTTTTGGCAGAGCTCTGCATCTGTCTGCGTGCACTTTATCTCAGAGGTCCTGTGCTCATCCTCTGCTCACTGACGTTGAGGCACAGCTTTATGTCAACAGAAGGGAAGTGTCTGTGCTCACTTACTGTGCAGCCCCAGCTCAGCTCGTAGGGCACAGTGCCCCCAGCTCCTCATGCACGTGGTAAATGGTGATGGAGAAGTGTTAAAAGTGACACGTGTCTGCTTTTCTCCTTCAGAAACTGCTGTGTGAAAAATTAGAGGAGCAGTTACAGGACTTGGATGTTGCCTTAAAGAAGAAGGAGCGTGCTGAACGAAGGTACTTTGGTATTGGGAGTGTGTGTCTTAGTATTCTGCCTGGAATTTGACAGCAAGAATGGGCTTACGATAGTGATGCCCACTTCTATCTGATGTAGGGGTTAGCCGAGTTCAGCCTGTAGGTCAGATTCAGCCTGCTTCTTCTTGCTTTTATACTGGGTTCTAGTGATGACTTTTATATTTTTAAATTACTTTTTAAAAATAAAATCTAGGGAGCCAGCAGGTGATGTGGAAATTATTGCAGCTGGATCCCACATGGCCAACTGCATGGTTCGAGTCCTAGATCCAGCAGCTTGAAAATCCCACTGGATGCATGTGCCTGGGTGAGCCCAAAATCCTTAGAGGAGAATGGAGGAGAAAGATTGCAGTGTGGCCATTCCCCCCAGGGGGTGATTTCTCTCTCTCTCTCTCTCTCTTTCTCTCTCTGTCTCTACTGACGCTCTCTCTCTCTTACCCTCTCTGTCTCTAATGAATGCATGTGCCCTATAACAACTAAAATAAAGTTAAAATTAAATAAGTTAGAATCGTTTTATGACACATGAAAGTTATATTTAGATTTTACTGTCCATAATTAACATTCTGATGGAACCCAGTCTTGATTATTTATTTACATGTTGTCTATGGCTCACTTTGTTCAACAGCAGTAGAATTGTGCTAGCTGTGACAGAGACCTTATAATGTGCCCACCTGAGATATTCATTATCTCTTTTCTTTTTCTTTTTCTTTTTCTTTTTCTTTTTGAGAGACAGATTTTTCTATAGGGCACGTGTGCTCACTAGAGAGACAAAGAGACAGAAAGCGATAAAGCACCACCCACGGTGGCTGACCATGCTGCAGTCCTTTCTCCCGTATTCTTCTCTCGGGACTTTGGCCATGCGCTTACACGCTCCTCGCGTGAGTTTTAGGCCTCCGGGTTCATCACTCATACTGCAGTCGGTCATGTGGGAGTCCAGCGACGTAACCATTACACCATCAGCTGGTCTTATGAACTTGACTTTTATGTTTTTTGTTGTTTGCTATCAAGCTTGAGCTCTCTGGCTCATAAGAAATGGTACTTAGTTAAAGCAAGTTAGTCTCTAAATTTGACTAGGAGATAAAAGTACTTACTAACTTTTGAAAATCAGTTATCTAAAGGCCTTTGAATTTAGAAACCCTTTTATTTTATAAAAAGTTTATGTTTCAAATATTGGCAGTATCTCCCAAGGACATTTTTAAAAATAAAGATAATCTGTATAAAATTATTAGGGCTGTTTTGCTGGGGGCAGAGTTCTCTTTTGTTTAATTTTGACACCAGTAAAAATGTAACAAAAGTTGCTTCAAATGAAATCACAAGTAAAAATCAGAGTTTTCTTTGCCTCAGTCTTTCTGAAATCTACCTATCCTTCTGAGAAATGAGCATTGTTCCGTGTCCTGAACATGTTGACTCAGCAGTATAGAGTTGATGGGCTCACCCGTGAAGAGCTGCTTGGAAGAGAATGGGTTCTTTCTCAAGCCAAGAATATACATCCTTGAGAATTTCATCTAATATTCAAATTATATCTCCTTTTCTTTGGAGTCGTGTGGTGCTTTTACCATTTAAATATGGAAAAGGCCAGAGAAGTTTTTGTGACAGTTGTCTCATATACTGTGGGATATACTGCTGCAATTATGAAACACTTTACATTTTAGAATTCTTGCTAAAACCGGTCATAGCATTTGTTTACAGTGTTGCTCTTGCATTTACTAGTTTCTTTGCTTTCTCTCCTGCTCTTGGTAATCTTTTTGACAAGATGTCATCCCTTAAGATGACATGTGTAATTCTCCCTTTAGATCAGCACGCTTAAGTCCTAGGTGAGATCATGTCATAGAAAGGAGAGCAGTTATTGTTACAGGAAGACACAAAGCTGGTTAACTGAGTCAATGCTGTGTTTGCTGATTCTTCCCAGTCATGTTTTTTTAAGTGTCTCCTCTAGAACTTAGTGTCAGAAATTATTTGAGAATTCAAGCAGTTTTGTCCTTCCAGAAAACTGTTACTAGTGCTTTGGTAGCAGGGAGTTGGATTTAATCAGGGTTGGAATTTTACAAATAAAGTAGAAGAAGAAAGAAGAGAAAGAGACATGGAATGTGGAAGTGTCTGCAGAGGAGTATTTACAGTGATGGACTGTGTAGTGTCAGCTAAGTCTGGGTTTCAAAGAGGTTAAGGTTGGCTTGGGGCCTTCCTGGAGTCAGAGTGTTGGATTCGGTGCACTAGAGGAAGTGAACCAGCACAAGGCAGAAAGTGGGATACCAGGAATTGATGTTTTATGAGTGTGGTTATTGGTCATGATGAGGCCTGGGCCAAACATTATCCTTGAGCCTGATAATGAGATGGAACAGAGGGTGTGTCTTTTAGGATTACTGAACAAGAGTGATGTGATGAGAAAGCATACCTCAGGATCCTTCTGAAATATCACCGCCTCTTTGTAGCCTTCCAGATTTCTCAGCTCTTAGCTCTTCAAACAAAATTAATGTACTTCTTTTTCACATTTCTATACTTGTTCATAATGGGCTACAATCATGAAGTAATTGTGAAAGCCCAAGTCATGTTTTATTTATCTATGGATTCCCATGCCTGAAACAAATCTTTTTTTTTTTTTTAAGAGATTTTCACTTATAGGGTGCGTGCACTTGCCAGACAGACAAGTGCACGCAGAAAGAAAGCGAGAAATCACCCCCCAGGGGAATGGCCATGCCGCAATCCCTTCTCTTCCGTTCTCCTCTTGGGATCTTGGGCATGCATGCACACATGCCCGGCGTGAGTTTTAAGCCACCGGGTCTGGGACTGGAACCACGGTCGACGACATGGGAGTCCAGCGACATAGCCATTACGCTAACTGCTGGTCCCTGAAACAAATCTTGACCTAATATAGTAAAGTGAATAAATCTTTTCAGTTGAATTGAGGCAAGAGTGGGCAAGTGAAAGGGGAGATCTAGAGATACAAAGGAGGGAAAGTGCTATCTCAATAAACTTTAAGGACAGATGTGTGTCAAGCATTTAATAATAGAGAGAGCCCTGACTTATCCATGAAGTCTTCCCATTTATTCCAGTTGGGACTATTCATGCCTTTCCTAATTATTATTGGTTCATTAACTATATTATGTATTTTTAGTTTTTGATGAAAATCACTTTACCATTTTCTTACATATCAGTTTTTATTTAATAGCCTCATAACCTACCTCTAAAAACGGCCATGAGATTCTTGTGAGCAGAGCCAGGGGTTTATAGGGCAAGTAAAGGCTGCACTCCAAAGGCCCTCACCAGCCAGATGTGTTGATTCCCTTCTTGAAAGGACATCATAGCAGCAGGAGAAAGAGCGGTCACCGTACACAGTTCAGGTTACTGTACATGGACTTGTCAGAGCCCAGCCATCCTTGTTGAATAGGATTAACTTCGGAAGAACCAGCAAAGACACCCGTCGTTTAGCTGTTTTTGTAAACTGTGCTGAATTAAAATTTTAAAGGCTTGTTTTTTGGAAATGAAACTATGGAGATATAATTAGAGTTTCAAAACTTCATTTCCTGGTTCTGAAGTACTTTTTTTTTTTTTTTGAGAGATTTTCATTGTAGGGCGTGTGCGCTCGCCAGACAGACAGAGACAGACATAGAGACAGAAAGCGAGAAATCACCCCCCAGGGGGGATGGTCACGCCGCAATCCCTTCTCCTCCATTCTCCTCTCGGGATCTTGGGCACGCACGCACACGCGCCCGGCGTGAGTTTTAAGCCACCGGGTCCGGGACACGAACCGCGGTCGACTACGTGGGAGTCCAGCGACATAGCCATTACGCTAACTGCTGGTTCCCTGAAGTACTTTTGTTATGTCATTCTAGGGTGCAGAATAGGAATGAGAGTCATTCACTGGGCTCTTAAAATGGTTTTGTTTTACGTAATTCTTTTTTATTGCATTATTGCCATGAGATCATAACTACACACACAATATTACTAATTACTTTCTCCAACCTAATAAAAATATAGTTTCTTCAATCAAAAGTGCTTTCATCTAATCATATGCATGAATCACAGTATGCCCTTTCCTGAAGTTTCCCTATGTTACTTTTAAGGGTATAGTTTCTGGCCTAGCACTGTGGTGTAGCAGTAAAGGAGGTGCCTTTCAAGACTGAAAGGCCACATAGCCAACTGCAGATTTGCATCCCCATTAGCTTAAAAACATGCGGGCATGGGCTACCAGGTAGCATGCTCGTTAAGGCACTGGACTCCCACATAGCTGACCACTGTTCGAGTCCCAGGCCTGGCGCCTTCCTTTGTCATTTTCTCTCTCTCTCTCTCTCTTTCTCAGTGTTGGTCTCTGGTGAGTGCACATACCCTATAGAAATAATAATAAATTTCATTTCATTTTTAAAATTTCAAAAGTTAAAAATTAAAAAACAAATAGACATTCAGGATCCTGATCCTGAGGAGCTGGAGGGCTGGGGAAAAGGGATTGCAGCATGATATGATCCTATTAAGATTACGCTTCTCTCTCTCTCTCTCTCTCTCTCTCTATCTCTCTCTCAATATGCACACATACTCAGCATCACTTTTTGAAAAAAGATATATCTTTTAAAATTTTCATACTTGCCAGGGGACCAGCAGGTGGCGTGGTAGTTAAGGTGCTGGACACTCCCCACATGGCCAACCATGGTTCGAGTCCCAGACCTAGCAGCTTTCTCTCTCTCTCTCTCTCTCTGTGTGTGTGTGTGTGTGTGTGTGTGTGTGTCTGGTCAAATGAAAAATGAATGAATGAATAAATAAAATTAAATAAATAATTTGGAAAAAAAAGGAAATTTCATACTTCCCATAGATACCAATACTCTTGTTAAATTTTTAAGATACATGCTGACAGTCTACAACTTAGCTTCTGCTCTTACCACAAAGTTGTAATTTTAGGATTGTCTGTACTCATGATAATGTGCATAAGAATTTAATTTTTAGGGGACCAGCAGGTGGCATGGTGGTTAAGGTGCTGGACACTCCCACATGGCCGACCATGGTTTGAGTCCCGGACCTGGTGGCTTCTTTTTCATTTTCCTTCTCTCTCTTTCCTCCTCTGTGTCTCTCTCTGGTCAAATTAAAATAAATGAGTGAATAAATAAAATAAAACAAGTAATAAAAAAAAAAGAATTTAATTTTTAGCAAATCTCTCCTTTTTTTTTTTTCACTTAAAGGAAAGAACGCTTGGTTTATGTTGGCATCAGTATCGAAAACATCATTCCTCCACAAGTAAGTGTCTGATTTGTAGCATTTTTAAGGGGTAGACTGTCATGACTGTTCTTAAACAATTGGGACTAGCAGACGGCATAATGGTTATGTCACTGGACTCCCATGTAGTCGACCACAGTTTGAATCTCAGACCCAACAACTTAAAACTCACACCAGGTGCAAGTGCATGCGTGCCCAAAAACCCAAGGGGAAAATGGAAGAGAAGGGTGTGGCCGTCCTCCTGGGGTGATTTTTTTGCTTTCTGTTTGTCTTCTTCGTTTCCAGGAAATGCATGCACCCTATAACAAAAATCTCTCAAAAATTTTTTGTAAAATTTAACCCATTTTATGTAATATAAGTAGCTTTAAATATATAATATTTTTATTTTATTAAAGATGACATTTTAAGACTTTAGAGAAATAAATCCCTCATAATCGAACTTTCATGAATGCAGGTAACCCAAAAATGCGATGTCACTTTCCAACTAAATTCATGATTCATGCCATTGGGGTAGAGATTTCACTGTATTTACCCTAAATTGATAATACAGATTTAGATTATTTATTTTTTTTTTTTTTAGAGGGTTTTGCTATAGGGCATGTGCACTCGCCAGGCAGACAGAGAGAGACAGAAAGCGAGAAATCACCCCCCTAGTGGGGATGGCCACACCGCAATCCCTTCTCCTCCATTCTCCTCTCAGGATCCTGGGCACGCACGCACATGCGCCCGGCATGAGTTTTAAGCCACCGGATCCAGGACGTGAACCGTGGTCGACTACGTGGGAGTCCAGCGACATAGCCATTACGCTAACTGCTGGTCCCTAGGTTTAGATTTTTTTATGTGCTATTTATGTAACATGACAAAAAAGTAGTTTAGTCAGATTTGATTTTGAATTCTTTGCTTTAGGAGCTATCGGTAACCTTCATTTGTATTCTTAACAGTTTCATTTCTTTGAAGAATTACTACTGTACATTATTGTGTACACTTTTGTCTAATTTATAATTAAGAAGGCTGTTACCAGTGAAAAAATACACATAAACATAGTTTTCCTTTAAAAGGGATAAACTTTCTCTGTTTCATAAACTTTCTCTGTTTCATTCAGGATTATCTTTTCTTCTAAGTCCATTATTTTATTCTTTTCACATAGCTATTGAGTATCATCTGTGTGTCAAATTTAATTATTTGTTATGAGATAAATGTTGGGACTGGCATGTGGTGTGATGGTTATGCACTGAACTCCTGTGTGTCTGACCGTGGTTCGAATCCCAAACCTGGCAGCTTGCTTTCTCACTTTCTCTCTCTGATGAGCACATGTGCCCTATAGCAAATTAAATAATACTCATTGTTATAGTAATACATAAAATAAATAATTCTTTAGGAAAAATAAGAGAATGATGGAAATACTTCCATCTGTGATGGTTTTAAAACACGTAAGCTCACAGAAGTATAAGAATTTTTAAATAGAAGTGTCGTTTCTGTCTTTTGGTCACAAGTATTCTTTTCTTCTGTATATTTAGTGTTGCTTCTTGATTGCATTTTTGGAACAGTCACATCAAACTTGTGCAAAGCTGCCTTGATGGAGATTGTAAAACTGCTAATCCCAGGGAATTTTGTCCTGTCAGAAATAACCTGTATACTTACCATATTTTTTGAAGGAGCCAGATTTTTCTGAAGAGCAAGAAGAAAAGAAAAAAGATTCTAAAAAATCTAAAGCAAACTTGCTTGAAAGGAGATCAACAAGAACCCGGAAATGCATCAGTTACAGGTATGAAACACCCAGGTGTGGTTATTGTGGAAGCGCATGTAAGATGTTTTCACAACTAGACAACGTGGCCCAGATGTATATCCTTCTCCCCTCATGGCAGTTATTAGCATTTCATTTTTTTTTTTTTAAGACAGATTTTTGCTATAGGACATGTGTGCTCACCAAAAAGAGAGAGATAAAAAGAAATCACTCACCCCTCCAGACCACGCCACAGTCCCTTCTTCTTCATTCTCTTCTTGGGGTTTTGGGCACACATGTACACACACACACACACACACACACACACACTCTGGGTGTGAATTTTAAACTGCTCAGTCTGGGATTCAAACTGCAGTCAACTATGTAGGAGTCCAGCGACATTATACCATCTGCTGGCCCCAACAATTGTTCATTTCTTTTTTTCCTTTTTTCTCTTTTTTAAAAACTTATTTATGTATTTATTTATTTACAGTCATTCACTGTACATCAATACAGTATACAAAATGAAATTTACTGTCCAGTATACATTGTGTATTGGCTCAATCAAGGATTTTATCATACATGTTATCATCAACAAATAATTTTGTATTTGTTTCTAATATTTTGCTTTTTTTTTTAATCCCCCTCGATTCCCTACCTCTCACCCTCTGCCAACTCCCACCCTTCTCCCACACTGTCTCTGGTATGTACTATTGTTTTCCATGCCCTTTTTTTTTTTTCCACATTTTATTGATTCACTACAGATCTTAATTAAAGACTCTCAATATGAAGCACATCTGGTATATACATATTTATGAACGCATGTCTGACTTTAGGCGTAAACCTCAGTGACTAAAGTAAACATACTATGAAGTAGCACCTCGCTGGGGCTGTATAGCGTACAACAATTGTTCATTTCTTTATTTCCATCTTTAAAGTTAGAATTTCAGAGCAGACAGTGTGATCTTTTCCAAACGTAAATCTGCTTATGTCATTCTCTTCTGCATGACATACTTGGTCCAATTAGGGGTGAAAATCGATGCTCTCAGTGAGGTCCAGCAGGCACTGCATAGTCTCCACCCTGCTTAGCTTTTCAGTCCCTGTGCACTTGCTGTTTACTCCGCCTGTGGTTTCCTTCCCATCCTTACCTTGTTAACTAACCTATTTCCTCAACAGCAGTTCTTCCTTGGAGTACTTAGGGTTATAATGCTTTCATGAGCTTTTTTCTCCTCCACTAGACCATTAGCTTGGAGATAAGGACCATGTCTATTTTATGTGTCCTTGTGTCCCTATTTCAATTACTTCAAACCATTTTTTGGCCTATGACCTCTAAAACTGACTGGGACAAGATCAAAACTTTTTTTTTAACTCAAATAAATGGAGCTGAAAAAGAAAGTGAATTTTATAAAACTAAACTTTGAGCTTGTTTCTAGTTTGTAAACATTCATTGATGGTTGTAGAAGAGTTCTCCATGGGTAGTTTGTTGTTATTATTGTTAAAACCTTGGAACCAGCAGTTAGCGTAATGGCTATGTCGCTGGACTCCCACGTAGTCGACCGCGGTTCGTGTCCCGGACCCGGTGGCTTAAAACTCATGCCGGGCGCATGTACGTGCATGCCCAAGATCCCGAGAGGAGAATGGAGGAGAAGGGATTGCTGTGTGACCATCCCCCCTGGGGGGGTGATTTCTCGCTTTCTGTCTCTATGTCTCTCTCTGTCTGTCTGGCGAGCGCACGTGCCCTACAGCGAAAATCTCTCCAAAAAAAAAAAAAATTAAAAAAAAAAACCTTATTAAATATGGGACCAGCAGGTAGCGTAATGGCTATGTCGCTGGACTCCCACATAGTAGACCGCAGTTCACGTCCTGGACTCAGCGGCTTAAAACTCAAGCCAAGCGCGTGTGCATGCGTGCCCAAGATCCCAAGAGGAGAATGGAGGAGAAGGGATACGGTGTGGCCATCCCCCCTGGGGGGTGATTTCTCACTTTCTGTCTCTCTGTCTCTCTCTGTCTGTCTGGTGAGCGCATGCACCCTATAGCAACAACCTCTCAAGAAAAGAAAAAAACCTTATTAAATACAGTAGGATTAGTAAGAGTAAAATCCTTTATGAGGGAATGTAAAGAAGTTCATGGAAAAATGGAATTAAAATGTAAGTTTATTTTGGTGCAAAAGAAATTACAATCTACAGCATGCAGATTTTTCATAGTACACATTTTTCCATGAAACTTTAGAACATGCAGATTTTTCATAGTACACATTTTTCCATGAAACTTTAGAACAACCCTTGTATATTTTGACCTATACATGAGGGAACAATGTCCATATCTGTATTTTTAAAAACTGAAAAGTAATTAAAATACACCATACTACATATGATGTCAGAGCGTGCAGATGAAAAGTGCAGTGCCAGCCCCACGGCTTAATGCCTCATGGAACCAGATTCAACATGTCTGACCATGGTTCCACTCTCAGTCCTGGCAGCTTAAAAAGGCAGGCAGGTGGTTGTTAAGAGCGCATGGCTGACTGGTTTGAGTCCTGGATTTGGCACCTTGCTTTCTCTCTCTGTCCCTCTCTGGTCAAATTAAAAATAAATAACGTTAAATAAAATAACTTTATTATTTTTTTTTAAAAGAGCATACCAGGGAGGGACAAGCAGGTGATGTAATGGTTACATTGCTGGACTCCCACATGGTCAACTGTGGTTCGAGTCCCATACACAGTGGCTCGAAACTCGTTCTGTATGCATGTAAGTGTATGCCCAAAATCCTGTGGGAAGACTGAAGGAGAAGGGATGGCAGCATAGCCATCCACTCTCAGGGATGATTTCTCATTTCTGTCTTTCTCTCTCTGGCGAGCGTACACGTCCTATAGTAAAAATCTCTGTTAAAAAAAAAAAAATACCACACCAGGGAACAGCCAGTGGTGTGATGGTTAAGGCAGCTGGATCCTACATGGCTAACTGTGCATTTAAAGTCCCATACCCTGTGTCTTGGAATACATGACAAGAGCATGTACACATGTCCCCCAAATCTTGAAAACCCATGTAAGTATATGATATGTCACAGTGTAGACTGCCAACATTTGCATCCCTGGGGACTTATTAGAAATGTAGATTGAGGAGCATTGTGGTTACATTGCTGGACTCCCACGTAATCAACTGCAGTTCAAGTCCCAGACCTGGTGGCTTAAACCAGGTACATGTGCATGTGTGCCCAAAATCCTGAGAGGAAAATGAAGGAGAAGGGATTGCCCCTGGGTACCATCCACTCTCAGGGATGATTTCTCATTTTCTATATCTCTGTCTCTGGTGAGCACACAACCCTATTGCAAAAATCTCTCGGAAAAAAAAAATCTTGAAAGGATAAAAGGAGGAGAATGGATTGCCACGTGGCTATCCTTGTAGTGGTGTTTTCTCTCTCTGGTGAGCAAATGCACCCTGTACCAAATTAAAAACAAAAACAAAAAAACAAAAAAACACAGTGGGGATTTCTACATATGTGCAGACCCCAAATCTTGACAGAATGCAGAAATGGAGGAGGAGGAGTTGTAATGTGACCATGTTCCATTAAGAAGAACTTTCTTATTTCCTCTATCTGTCTGTCTCTCTCTGTAAACACCCACTGGCAATTAAAAACAAAAAAACATAGTGCAAATATAAATTTGGTGCTGTTTAACATACATACATAACTTTCTAAACATCACCAGGCTATGTAAAATTATACAGTAATAATCATAAGGATTATGAGAAATTGAGGTTAGAGACACACAAAAACTTCATTAGTGATATGTTTTTTAAAAAATTGTTATTCAGGACCAGCAGTTGGCATAATGGCTATGTTGCTGGACTCCCATGTAGTCAACCGCGGTTCCAGTCCCAGACCCAGTGGCTTAAAACTCATGCCGGCACATGTGCGTGCATGCCCAAGATCCCGAGAGGAGAATGGAGGAGAAGGAATTGCAGTGTGGCCATCCCCGAGGGGGTGATTTCTCATTTTTTATCTCTCTGTCTTTCTGGCAAACGCATGCACCCTATAGCAAAACCCTCTGGAAAAAAAAAAACTTTTAATTCATTTTATTTTATTTATCATCATCATTATCATCAGCATTGTTATTTTAATTTGCTAAAAGGCACATGTGCTCACCAGAGAGATGAGAAAAGTGAAAAGGCAAGTCCAGGACTCAGCCACTGTTGGCCGTGTGGGAGTATAGCCTCTCAGCCACCATACCACCTGCCAGCCCCATGGTAAATTTTTTAAAATATAGAATATGACGGACCAGTAGATGGCGTAACGATTACGTTGCTGGACTCCCACATAGTTGACCACAGTTCCAGTCCCAGATCTGGCACCTTAAAACTCACGCCAGGCCTGTGTGTGCATGCATGCTCAAGACCCCGAGAGGAGAATGGAGGAGAAGGGATTATAGTGTGGGGAGGTAATTTCTCACTTTCTGTCTATCTTTCTGGCAAGCATATGCTCCCTATAGCAAAAATCTCTCTCAAAAAGGAAGAAAAAAGTAGAATTTGATAAAAAATAGTTGTGTCGTTTGACATGTATTAAATAGTTAAGAAATACATAAATACTACCACAAGTATGGCATTTTACATTGTAAAAAAAACTAAAGTTTGTGGAAGTAGAGAGTTGCAGTTTTTAGTTATTTAGGCCATTGTCTGAAATGAGACAGAAAGGTGGAGTACCAGCTGCAGGTGGGCATCACTTCTGACACCTGGCATAGACTAGCATATGTTCCCATGCCTGCAGCTCCGTGCAGTTAGGCACAGTTTTCTGTGTTCATCTATTGTTTCCACAAATAAAATTGCATATAAACAAGTGTGAAATACACATTTATGCTTAAGCTTTTTGTAGCATATCAATCATACTGAAACACGTTTGCATTTTCAGAGTAAGCATTGTAGCTAAATTGCTGGTATTCTCTTTAGATCTTGATGTGATTGCAGTTATTAAAAGAAGCATGATCTCAAGGATGAGGAAAAAAAGGCAAAACATATAGAAAACAAGAAATGGAAAATTATTTGTTGATTATAACATGTTTGTTTATGTGCTTGATTGAGACAATATACAGTGTACTCTGGATGGAAAATCTCATTTTGTATGTGTTGTCATGATATACAGTGAATGAATGTAAATAAATAAATTTAAAAAATAAAAAAAAAAAAACTTAGTAAGTGGAAAAAATAAATACATTAAAAGCATGATCAAATGTATGGTCCAGGAAAGTCTCTCAATGGAATCTTGGGATGTCTAGCCAAATAAGAGAAAAGATAAAGCTATAAAATTCTGAGGAAGAGTAGGATTAAGATACTATTTATTTATTTTAGTTTTTGCTATATAGTGTGTGTGCTGGCCAGAGAGACAGTGGGAGAGAGGGAAAGTGGGAAGTCAACCCCCATTGGTATGACCACAGAGTAATCTCTTCTTCTCTGTTCTCTCAGCATTTGGGGCATCACAACTTGCACCCAGTGTGGTTTTCAGGTTTCCGGATCTTGGGCCTGAACTGCGGTCAGCCATGTGGGCATCTAACACCTTAATTACCATGCCCCAACGTAGTGTCTTCTAAGCTACATGCTCACATGGTAAAAGGGGCAAGGAGATGCTTTTGGACAGATCAGGTGTCTGGTGAGGGCCTGCTTCCTTATGGATGATTTTTTCACTATAAACTCACATAGTGTAGGGGGAGAGGTTTCTCTTTGGCCTTCTTTATTTGTATATTAATCCTGTTTATGAAGGATCTGCCCCATAACTTAATCACCTCCAAAGGTTCCCAGCTTCTAATACTGTCACCTTGGGATTAGAATTTCAATGTTAGGGGACCAGGTGATGGTGTAATGGTTACGTCGCTGGACTCCCACGTAGATGACCATGGTTCTAGTCATGGACCAGGTGTACATGCATGTGTATGTGTGCCCAACATCCCAAGAGGAGAATCGAGGAGAAGGGATGGGATTGCAGCATCCATCTCCACTGGGGGGGAGGGGTGATTTCTCGCTTTCTGTCCCTTTTCTCTCATGAGTGAACTCACACTTCCTTATAGCAAAAATCTCATTTAAAAAAAAATTTTTTTTAGAACGTGTGCACTCGACAGAAAGAGGCAGAAAGCAAGAAATCATCCTTTGGGTGGATGGCCACGCCTCAATCCCTTTTCCTCCATTCTCCTCTTGGGATTCTTTATTTGTATATTAATCCTGTTTATGAAGGATCTGCCCCATAACTTAATCACCTCCAAAGGTTCCCAGCTTCTAATACTGTCACCTTGGGATTAGAATTTCAATGTTAGGGGACCAGGTGATGGTGTAATGGTTACGTCGCTGGACTCCCACGTAGATGACCATGGTTCTAGTCATGGACCAGGTGTACATGCATGTGTATGTGTGCCCAACATCCCAAGAGGAGAATCGAGGAGAAGGGATGGGATTGCAGCATCCATCTCCACTGGGGGGGAGGGGTGATTTCTCGCTTTCTGTCCCTTTTCTCTCATGAGTGAACTCACACTTCCTTATAGCAAAAATCTCATTTAAAAAAAAATTTTTTTTAGAACGTGTGCACTCGACAGAAAGAGGCAGAAAGCAAGAAATCATCCTTTGGGTGGATGGCCACGCCTCAATCCCTTTTCCTCCATTCTCCTCTTGGGATCTCGGGCACACACACACACATGCGCCTGCCGTGAGTTTAAGCCACTGGGTCCAGGACTCCAACCACAGTGGACTACATGGGAGTCCGGCGACATAGCCATTGTGCCAACTGCTGGTCTCAAGAAGAAGAATTTTTGCAGGATGCTTAACAGTCAGACCAAAGGAGACACCTAGTATAGATCTTTAAAAATCGAAAGTAAAGTAGGCTATAATGTGATTATTTGTGTATATTTTAGATTTGATGAGTTTGATGAAGCAATCGATGAAGCTATAGAAGATGATATCAAAGAGGCTGATGGAGGAGGTATGTGTTTATCATTTTCTCTCTTCATGTAACTCTGTCAACAAGTTCATTCAAATGCCCCAATTGGGGCAGTCAACACATTTAAAAAAAAAAAATTCTCCTCCCATTGTGCAGCACGTTCACTACTAATGTTAATTATCTCATCCAAAAAGGTAGCGTGTTTTATGATCGCATGTAAAGTAGTGAGTATTCCTCCATAATTAAAAAGTTTTCTTCTGGTTACAAATAGAAAATCAAGGAAACTTTCTTTGAGAAAGTTGTTATATTTCAGACTACACAGTCTCAAAGTATGTACATAACCAGAATTTAAATGATTGCTTTAAATTAACTTTTTACTAATCAGTTTATTAATTTTTAACTGGCAGCATTGAAATCAAGTGCTCTGATGCAAGGCATTTTGGTTTCCACTTACTTATGAAAACTCTGGCTAGGTTTAACTAGTACCTTGTTGCTCGAGGAATTAAAGAAATCACAAGTTTTGCCAGAGGGGTGTCCCTTATTTACATTTTTACTGCTGAATTTTTACCTTTTATATCCTGAAAGCAGTCTCTGCAAAGTGGATTGGCCTCTTTCTAAATCCTTGTCCCTAACAGCTTTCAAGAAGAGATTCATGAGTGACTGCTTGTTAGGTACAAGTTTCTTTTTGAAGCGAGGGAAATGTCCCAGAATTAGTGAAAATTGTTGCACAACTTGGTGACTGTACTATACACCTTTGAATTGCATCTTTTAAAAGGTAAATGTTACAGTATATGAGTTAGATCAAAGCTATAAAAACAATACCACTTTACATAGTGGTATTCAGTAGATAATCGAAGGCCAAAACTCTCTGGATGGGAGCTCTGTTAGCTAACATTGTGAGGAAACTGAATATCTGTAGGAAGAATTTATAAAGAGATCAACTGAAGAATTGCTGAGCCTGGGTAAGCACAGTCTCTAGGAATGAAAGGGAAGCTTTTCCTATACGGACTGTGACCTTTGCTCTCCCCACCCCACCCCCACCGCCTCCCCCACAAACTCAGGAGTTGGCCGAGGAAAAGATATCTCCACCATCACGGGTCACCGTGGGAAAGACATCTCTACTATTTTGGATGAAGAAAGGAAAGAAAATAAACGGCCCCAGAGGGCAGCTGCTGCTCGACGCAAGAAACGCCGGCGACTGAACGACCTGGACAGTGACAGCAACCTGGATGAGGAAGAGAGTGAGGATGAGTTCAAGATCAGCGACGGGTGCGTGGTCCCCGGGAGACTCGTTCCCCAGATTCCAGCTTAGAAAACGCTGAGCGAGCAGAGTCGTGGCCCTGCTGTGAGGGACTTTCATTCTTCATGCGAACGGACAGTCTCTGTGTATTCTCAGTACATTTAGAGGAGATTCAAGAATGATCATTTTGGTTCCTTTTAGAGTAAAACAGAAAGTAGACTTATGGTTGGTCATTTAATATTCAAAATTGTGTTTACATTTGGTCAGCTGCTGCACCTGCACAGTCGTGAAGGTCCCTGTCAGTGTGAGAACGAACACGCACATGAGTAGATACCATCCTCTGCTGACTCACTGAGGTTTGAGTTGGGGTGATGATCTAGTGAGGAAGACCAGGAAAGGCTCCTGTGCAGAGCGGATACTGAAGCAGTACTTCAGGGCTTCTCCTTTCAGGTTGTTAGTGGAAGAAACAAGTAGATAAACCACAAAAATAGTCATTCTGCGTGACTGCTACCAAATGCAGGGGAAGCATAATTAGAAGCCCAAGAGAGTGCACAGAAGTAGCTTGGTCTGCAATTTAAAGGACAAATATTTGGGCAGGTTGATGTGATTAAGATTGGAAGTACATGAGGAAAGATGGTATTCCAAGCTGACATCACATGTCTATGGCATCATGCCATTAAGTGTCACCAAATATTTGGAAACTCCTGGTGTTCAGCATAGCAAGACTCTGCGGTTGAAGTAGAGAGTGCTCTGCTGGAGATATGGCCAAAGGGTAGACAAGAACGAGCTAGGGAGTGTCTGCCAGTGTGGAGATTATGCTGACAGTGAAGAAAAACCATTGATAGATTTTAAAACACCAGAAGACTGCGTGATTTATACTTCAGAAAGATTCCTTTGCATTCAGTTGGAGGGTGTTCTGAAAGGAAATGAGATTAGAGAGGCATTGATGAGTTGCTATTAATATTGATAGTTTAGGTGTGAAGTAAAAGCCTGAAACAGAAGAGAGATCAGGTTGGAGAGATTATCTTTTAAGAGGTAGACCTTGGGGCTAGCAGGTGGTGCAGAGTATCACATACGTCCTGCTGTGCAGTTTGAGCCCCAGACCCAACAGCATGAAAATCACACCAGGTTGTGTGTGTGTGTGTGTGTGTGTGTGTGTACGTGTGTACGCATACCCGAAATCCCCAGGAAAGTGGGGGAGAAGGGATTGTGGCACCCCCTAGAGAGTGATTTCTCATTTTCTCTTTCTCTGTCTAGTAAGCACATATGCCCTATTGCTTACCTTAGGGGGGAAAAAAAGGTTGACTCGGGCCAGCTCCGTGGTGCAGTGGTGATGTGCTGTCCAGGAAAAGTCAGGTCCCACAGAGCACTTGAGTTTCAGATTGCTGGCCTCATAAACCTGAAATGCCCCAGGCTTGTGCGCAAGTGCCCAAAGTCCAGTGGGCTGGAGGAAGTGATTTACATGGTGACCAGATGCTTTGGAGGGCCCTCTCTCTCCTTCCCCCTTCTCCTCTCATTTCGGTGTGCATGTATGTGCTCTGTCAGGAATAATAGGGGAAAACATTTTTTTTTGAGAGAGAGAGATTTTTGCTATAGGGTGCGTGTGTGCCTGGCATGTAAGGAAAATAACCTAGGGATCAGCAGATGGCGTAATGATTACATTGCTGGATTCATCTAGTCAACTGCGGTTCAAGTCCCAAACCTGGTGGCTTAAAGCTCATGCTGGGCACGTGTGCATGCATGCCCAAGATCCTGAGAGGAGAATGGAGGAGAAGGGATTGCAGTGTGGCCGTCCCCCAGTCTCTCTCTGGCAAGTACACACACCCTTTAGCAAAAATCTCTCTCCAAAAAGAAAAAAAAAAAAACTTAGAAAGGGAGAAACAGGTAGACTCAGAAGAAATTTATAATTGAGTAGATGTGAGAAATGAAAAGGAAAAAATCTAGGATAAATACCAGGTTTCTGTTTTGAGTTAATAGATGGATCATGGTACTAAGTACAAGCTGGGGGCCAGATGGGAGGGATAGGTTGAGAAATAATGAATTCACTTTGAACATATTCAACTGAAGGTACATGAGAGACATCCCGAGAGGCCAAAGCAATTTATGTGCAAAAATCAGTATGCGTTCTTCTTCATCTCTTAAGATAAAGAAAGGTAGCAAAACATTTCTCTGTTTTATAAACAGAGATTGATAAAATTGCCTAGGTATGTTTACCAAACATTAAATAATGATCACTGAACTTGCTAGAACTTGAACTCAGCTCTTTGAATGGATTCACAGTGCATGTACCATCTGATTTGCTGATTTTTCTTGGACAGATCTCAAGATGAGTTTGTTGTATCTGATGAAAACCCAGATGAAAGTGAAGAAGATCCTCCATCTAATGACGACAGCGACACTGATTTCTGTAGCCGGAGACTGAGGCGACACCCCTCCCGGCCCATGAGGCAGAGCAGGCGTTTACGAAGAAAGACCCCAAAGAAAAAGTACTCTGATGATGATGAAGAGGAGGAATCTGAAGAGAATAGTAGAGACTCTGGTAAAAATGATTTGTATCCATCGCACACCAACTCCATGAGTTCTGTTTCTTAAAATCCTATTCAGTTGTAACACAAGCTATCTCGTGACTCACTTGGTAATTAAACTTTTCACATAAATCACATCTGAGAAAATACACACAGATCTATGTGTTGACTTCTTTAGGACTATAATCTGTCCTCTGGTGCCGGGTGTATCTGTTAAGGTCTGACCTTAACTTCCATAGTGTTTCTTGGGAATCATTTTCAGTAACCTAAGGACATGTCTTCAGGTGCACAGCTATCAGAGGAAGAATTCCAGGTGTCTCTAATATTTGGACCATGACGAGCGTTTCAGTAGTTGTTACAGATGAGCAGTAGTTAGAGTCTGTGCTCCTCCCTAGTAGCTGAATAAACAGGCACATCAGATGTGACAGGCACATCTGAAAGAAGAGAGAAGAATGCTTTATGGAATCACCCTAGAGGTGGCTGTCATCTTTCTGGAGACGCCACAAACATGAGTATTGCATCCTTCACTTTCGCATCCTTGCTGGGGCTGTCTTAAGTGTTTTTCTAAACCTTTTGAGTAAGTTGGTGACATTCCCCTTGATCATTAATTATTCCCTAAGGACAAGGACAGTTTTTGACAATACAGTGATCAGAATCAGAAATCGTAACATCGATAGGCTTTTATCTAAGCAGCAGTACACGTTTGAACTTTGTCGGGTGTCCCAGTGTTTTCCTTTACATTCATTTTGTCTTAGTCCAGATCCAATGTAGTATTACGCATTGCATTTATTCATGTCTGTTTATGTCTCCTTTAATCTGGAATGTTCTTCACATTTTATCTCTATCACCCTTGACACCTTTTTTGTTTTGGAGAGATTTTTGCTAGAGAGTGTGTATGTTCACTGGAGAGACAAAAGGCAAGAAATCACCCCCGCAGGGCGGATGGTCACACCGCAATCCCTTTTCCTCCATTCTTCTCTTGGGATTTTGGGCACGCATGCACACACACTTGCCCGGCATGAGTTTTAAGCTGCCAGGTCCGGTACTTGAACCATGGTGTACTATGTGGGAGTTCAATGACATAACTATTACACCATCTGCTGGTCCTGACCTTGACATTTTTAAAGGATACATATTAGTTATTTTGTAAGATGTCCTTTAATTTGGGTTTTTCTCTTTCTTAGTAATTGAATTCAGGCTATGTATTTTTAGTGGAAACATCTCAGAGATAACGTTTTGTCTATCAGGTCTCTTTATTTTCCTTGTAATGAATAAGTAATTTGTTATAAGATACTATGAGACTATTTAAATGACCTGTTCCTTATCACATGTTTCCCCTGCTAGTTTTAGCATCCATTGATGATTTTGTTTATTTGTTTTGGCAAGTTTTTGTTTTGTTTTGTTCTTTACTATAAGGTGTGCACTCGCTGGAGAGACAGACAGAAACAGAGATTCAGAAAGCAAGAAATAACCCTCTAGGAAGGATGGCCATGCAGTAATCCCTTCTCATTTTCCTTTCAGGATTTTGGGCATGCACACATCCAGCCGCTGCATCTGGAACTCAGAACTGAGGTTGACTGTGTGGGAGTCCAGCATTGTAGTCATTATTACAGACCAGCCATCTGCTGGTCCCGTGCATTGATGATTTTCCTTTTCTTTTCTTTTTCTTTTTTTAAAAATTTGCCAGAGGGAACACGTGCTCACTAGAAACAGAAAAAGGGAAAGCAAGGAAGTACCTCACCCTTGGGGCATGGTCACATCGCAGTCCCTGCTCCATTTCTGCCTCCTTTTGGGGTTGGGGGAATACTTGCGTAGGTGCTGGGCATGTTCTCAAACAGCCAGGTCTGAGACTCATCGTCAGCTACATACTACCCAGCTACCTTAACCACCATGCTGTGTGCTGGCCCCCACTGATGATTGTCTAACTCCATCATTCCGTTTATACTTACTATTTGTTTTTCGGTGAAAAAGAACTTTATCTTCTCTTTATTCATTTATATCAGTATGTTTGTTTGTGTATTTATTTATATATATCAGTATATTCTCTTGGATTCTCATTTTAGTCCGTGGATATGCTGCATTACCATCATTGTTTAGGTTTGATTCATCCCAGATTTGGCCGGTGGGAACCACGTCAAACTGTGGGCTCACTCTGAGGAAATGTTGCTATCCATTCGAGAACAACAGGTGAAGTGTAATGATTTGGTGGAATTTGCACTCTGAGGAGCACCACATGCACATACTCTGACACATGCCATGGTTTCACTCTGTTTGCTGACCAGAGATGACAAGGACAATGCCATTTAGCAGTTCTTTTAGAGTTTAACTTGCCCCATATGCTTTATTTGGGAGATTTTCATCCAAATGGGAAAGGCCAAAAATGTAACTTCAGTGCTGCACTTCTTTGGAATAAATTCATGTGCTTTCTTTGGTCAGAGGCTTTATCCTTGACAGTGTGTTGTGACAGAGGCCACAGAAAGCAACAGCAGATTGTCAGGAGGCAGACTCTGGCGACTGTGCACCAAGAAGAGCAACCATGCAGCTATGCACCTGACCAGGAGTTCTAGGTGGTATATAAAAAGGATTATTTTGGTGCCAGCAGTTAGTGTAATGGCTATGCCGCTGGACTCCCATGTAGTTGACCGTGGTTCGAGTCTTGGACACAGTGGCTTAAACTCATGCTGGGCGCGTGTGCGTGCGTGCCCAAGATCCTGAGAGGAGAATGGAGGAGAAGGGATTGCTTCGTGGCCATCCCCCTTAAGGGGTGATTTCTCACTTTCTGTCCCTCTGTTTCTCTCTGTCTTTCTGGCAAGTGTATGTGCCCTGTAGCAAAAACCTCTAAAAAAAATAAATAAGTGTATATACTGGGGCCCGCAGGTGGTGTGTTGGTTAAGGGCGCTGGACTCCCACATGGTAGTCCACGGTTCAAGTCCCAGACCTGGTGACTTGCTTTCTCACTTTCCCCCTCTCTCTCACTTTCCCTCTCTATCTTTGACTGGTCAAATTAAAATAAATAAATGAAGTGGTCCAGAATGTGGCACAGTGGTTAAGGCTCTGGACTCCCATGTGGCTCACCGTGATTCAGTTCCCAGACCTGGCAGCTTGCTTTCTCACTCGCCCTCTCTCTCTCTCTCTCTCTTTCTCTCTCTCTCTCTCT